CTTAAGCATCCTAATTTGGAGAGTACTGACTTGATACATTTTAAAAAATGTATTGTTATTATTATTTTGTAGACAGGGTGGTCGTGGCTGGCCTAGAATTTGCTATGTAAAACTTTGATCTCGCAGAAATCCACCTGCCTTTGCCTCTGGAGTATTGGGAATTAAAGGCATGAACTACCACACCCAACACAAAATCTCATATTTTCGAAAGAAAAAAAAAACTTGAAAATCATTCCAAAGGGTAAGCATCAAGTTTGTAAGAGGCCATGAAAGAAAGAATGGAGTAGCATGCTTAGCAGAGAAGGGTCCAGAAAGGCTGCAGGCAAGGCCTGCATCATGCTGACAGGAAGAATGTCCTCTTCCTAACAGCTCCCTACTCTACTGGTGCGCAAGAACTTTCTAAAACATAATAGGAGCATCTCGATCTCCCCTGGGTACATGAGAACCAGAGTCTACCTAAGAGCTCACACATGCAGTCCCCAAACAAGGATCTCCTAGAGTTTCTGTTTAAAAACCTTCCCACATTAAGTGAGAAACTGCATTCTGAAGGGAAGAATTTGGACTAATTCCATTATTACTTCAATGTTTCCCTCCTAATTGACTAGTAAAGTCAATAAGAAGCCCATGAATGTGGTTGGAGTTCCTGAATCAACCCTCCAGGCCACACCTGCTGTCATTATTAGCTTTTAGTTAGGTAGAGATAACACCTGAGTATGGGCCTTGATGTCCACAGGTGAGGAAGTTGGATATAATCGTCTATTCCATGTTTAACCCATACATATACTAACCTTGTCCTGGGGAGTGGACCTGAAACTTCCTCTTACATCTCCACAGGCTTGTGGAATAAACTCTACTAGGAAGCTCACTATTTCAGTGACTGGCATACTGTGGTGGACAGGGACAGGGGATTCAGTGAGTCTGCCTCAGTAACACCAGGAGGCTGGACAGGAACTAGAGAACAAATCCGGCACCATTTCTGCAGCATACTTATTGCTACTGGACAGGAGAAAACCAAGGACCTTTTCCATCAAGGGAGACAGTTGGCAGAGGTCAGGCAAACACCCCTTATTCACAAGACTGACCACTGAGAGACCGTATGTGACCTGAAGACCATGGCCAAGGCTGTGTGCAGATGGACAGGGAGCATATAGCTTGTTGGTTAGGAACCTTCCATGACTACTGCTTCCTAATCCCAACCCTCAGGAAGACCTTCAACTCTTCTAAGCCTCAGAGGCTTCTACATATGATGGGATGAAAACGTCCTTATCAGTGGGAGGGCCCTAGAGGGGTTTAGATAATGCAACAGAGTAATTTCCAAGTGCCAGGGCCAAGTAACTACACAGCAGGTGCTAAGTTTTAGGGTTAGTCTTGGCTGCTGGCATCCTTCTACAGGCATCTTTTCATGACTATTACTGCGCTCGTCACAGCGCCCCCTCAAGGTACACCTGGGTATGACAGCCTGCCCAGCGTCAGGACCTGGCGGCAAAGACATGCATGGAATCTTCAGTCTGCTCAGTCTGAGGCCCTTTGTGAAGGGCATTAATTTTTCAGATGCATAGTGCTCTGTTTCTCTTTACTTTCTGAGGGTCAGAACTCAGGTTGATAAAATAAACCCTATAATCAGTACAATTTGTGTGTGTGTGTGTGTGTGCTGCTGTCTATAGGTATCCAAGAAAAATGAAGAGGGACGTAGTGTTGCAGGACAGTAAAATGGCATCTGTGTTGTGACTTCTCAACTCTTCCACCGGTTGTCAGAATCAATGATCTCCTTGCCTTGGGTATCAACAGGCTGAATGGGGAAGAGGAAGAGAGCGAGGTGGCTGCCCGGGACAATCAAATAAAAAGATGTATACCGGCCACAGGGGCGGGGTCTCAAAACTCATCTATCTCATTTAAAATTTAATCAGTACCTCAAAATTAGCCCAATTCCCAGAGGCGCGAGTATATCTTAAAATTTTACACGTAAGCGTGTCTTCCAGGGAGCTGAGTGCCATCCGTGGAGGCTGGACTGCTTTAAGAAGACAGAAGATTGAGTGGCCATTAGCTCAGTCAAGCACCCCACCTCCTGCTGCAACTTTTTACTTTACTTCCTGATGTAACAGAAACACTTTTTTTTCTTTTTTTTTTTTTTTTGGTCACTACTTCCTCCACAAAGTCAACTAGACGACGACAGTTGGCATTCAAGAAATCCACAGCAAACAGTGTAAATCCTCCCGTGCAAAAGTCTCTCTTCAACCCAACGGCTCTTGGTTCCCAAGTGAGGAAAATCCCAGGGCAGGACCCACACGCACTCATCTCCAGTTGCTGGTGTGAGTTGAAAAGTTCAGCACACTAGCTTTTGACCCCTTCCGCAGGCTTGTTGACTTTGGCCCCTCGGAGAAACTCTTGTTTATTTGTGCATAAAATGTCTTTGGAAGGAAGACTGACTTTTGGGGTCTTTCCATGAAATCACTCTGGAGAAATGATAAGTGACTCTTGTTTTTACTTCGGCCACCGGTCAGGGATGACTAGCCCCAGATATGCACGATATTTCCTTTACACTGGCATTCATCATCAGAACACTATGTAGACCTCTCACCAACTTAACTCTTTCTTCCCCAGATGCGGTTTTTATAAAACGCTTCTTTGTGTCTCAGTCTACGGGTTTGTCTTCCACACTGACATTTTTACTGATACGTTCATCACGAAAATGGATAGAGAGGGCGAGGTTTCTGAGAGGCGTGTGTTAGTGAGAGCATTACAGAAAGAATGGAAAAGGAATTAGCGAGAAAGTGGAAGCATGGGGCTTACAACATGGCAGCTGCCATTCACGGTGGAGACTGTGTAAGGACACTTATCACCATAACCCCACTCAGCAGACACCTGATTTTCCATTTTACAGATGTGGACAGGAGCACAGAGGGGTCAAGTAGCTGGTTGAAACTCAACAGAAAGGCATGAGACTGTCTGGCAGCTGAGCTCTAATGCTTGACCTATTAAATAATTGGAGAGATTGCTACTGTCTGGATCTCAGGTTTCCTCTAAAGTCCTATGTAGTAAAGGTTTAGTTCCCAACCAGGAGCTATTGGGAGGCCGTGGAACCTTTAGAAGATAGAGAGGGCCTTACACGGTTGGGGGTGTGCCCTGAAAAGGGGGTTGTGAGACCCTGGCTCCTGCCTCCTTCCCACTTTGTTTCTCAGGTTACAGAGTAAGCAGTTTTGTTTTTCCATGTGCATCTACCATGATGGGTCGCCTTGGCACAGGCCTCAACAAAAGTGCTGTGCCCATCCAATGGTGGAGGGACCCCTCTAAAAGCTAGGAGCCTAAATGACTCTCTCTAAGTTAATGATCTGTGCTACCACGATGGGAAGCTGAGTAAAACACTTACCACCTGGAACACGGCATACACTAGCAAGAACTGGAGAAGGGAGGAAATGCAATTTGAGATGGCTCAGGTCAGCTGTTTGCTCGCGGTAGTCAAACCTCTGGGCGCTTTTATCATCTGTGTGACACAACTGGTAAGTTCCCTCTAACACTCCACGCAGCACGCCTGTTCTGAAGCTGAAGCTACCTGGCTGCAGCTTGGTTTTGAGTGGCCCAGGTCCACGTCCTTCATTTTTGGCCCCGATGGAAACCCTTCCTCAACACTTCGATGCCTAGCAACAGAAATTACCGGCACACCCATTTGGCTACTCTTTTCTAGGAGACAGACGATAAAAGAATGAGCAAGGGGCATGCACTGGACATGCCTGAATGTTTCTACTACAGACAGAGCCTGAGTCAGTCAGTCAGAAGTTACGTATTGATTTTTATAGTCACGGAAGAGAGTGGTAAGCAATCCCAATGGAATATAAAGTACTGATAGCAGAAATTAGACAGGACAAGGCCACAAGTTTCCTTTGAGACCCTAGGGAATTCCTTAGGGACTCCGAAGTGACCCCATTCTGCAATCAGTTCTGTGGCTGTGGGGGTGGCAATCATTGGAAGAACTTTTCAAGTGTGTTCTAGGAGGGTTTTTGCTGGTAAAGATATCAAGAATCTTGCATGGACCCCACTATAGTTGGGGTCTGAGATGTCCCTTAAAGATCTATGTGTTGAAGCCTTGGCGTCCAGCTTGGTGCTGCTAAGAGGTGGAAGGACCTTCAGGAAGTGGAGCCTGGGGTGGGAGATGTCACTGGGGATGTGCCCTTGAGGGACATATTGGGGCCTTAGCTCTTTCCTATTTCTTACCAGGAGGGGAGAGGCTTTCTCAGTCACATGCTCCTGCCATGGTCTGCTGCCCAAAGATGACAATGCCAACCACCCAAGAACTGGAAGGTCTCAAACTGTGAGGCAAATGAAACTTTTCCTTAGAAGTTGTTAGTCTCCGGTATGTTGTCACATAGATAAAAAGCTAAGACAGACCCTCCGTTGTGGGACCCGGTTAGGCTATGTGTGACCTTTCATCACTGGCCAATGAGCAGGAATGAAGAAGTTTCTGTTGCCCCATGCTGTGCTGTCTGTGGGAAGCTGCTGGTTCCTTTGTTGTATAAGCAAAATACAAACCCCATTCTTCTACCCCAAGGGAAAAGAGCCCATCATACCCCAAGGACGTTGCTGCTTTTCTGGGTCCATTTATCTAGGGGGCTGACTAGATAATGCATCTATACATTCACTCCTTAAATATTTACTGAGCAGCACCTGTTCCCTGTTAGTCACCAAGAGGCAAACAGCAGGGGCGGGAGAAGGCTTTACCATTGCCCGGAAGGGTGGGGCTAGATAAGGGCCCTAGTAACCAGAACAGGGAGAGTGGACTTAGAACACCAACCAGACAGCCTGGCAAGGCTCTCATCTGATGGGCAGAGACTGGATCGTGGAGAAAGCCGCTCTGCCCAGCCTCGTAAGAATTCAAGGCCATCAAAGGGGGCTTTCTTAGACAGAACCTACTAGGAGATAAGGTCCAGGGTGCCAAGAAGTTGCTTGGTCTTGGGCAGGCCTGGGGGGTGGGCAGGGAGAGTTGTCAAGAGCCAACACACAGCTACCTTGCAGTCGCAGCCAATGGGTGTGCCACACTCCTCACACGTGTTGGCGTAGAGCTCCTCGAAGCAGGCCACACAGTGCGGGTTCTCCTCCTTCAAGATGTACTTCTTGCCATACAGAGACTCATTGCAATGGTGGCAGTCAAAGCGTTCAGTCATGTTGACCCCCTGACTTTACAGCCACCTGTGAAAAAGGAGGAAAAAACCCACACTTCAGACTCAGGAACCCTCCGCGTCCCCTGCCCACGAAGGCAATGAATCGGACAGACGTTCAACGCTCACTATTTTCAGTGAAACACTTTTTTAGCTGGAGGAGTTTTGTGTTTCCATGCACTCCATGCATTCAAGCAGTCATTACTGACTGGATCCGAATGTCGGATTCCAGAAAAAGCAGCAGCACCTCTAATTTACCCTCGCTATGGGTAGGCTTCCAGTGCCTGACCCTGCCTCACCTCTCTGCCCTCAAAATAGAAAGACAGGCACAGAAACAATATGTCTATCTCTATAAAAAGATTTTCCATGCACTCTGCTTTATGATTCATAAATTTGAATAGGAAGAAAAGCATGATGGTACAAGGCAAGGGTATCTGACAGGGAATTCTGTAGTCAGAGGCCAGGAGAGTCTTGACCTTGACCTGTACCTACTTTGGGAAATACAACATAGACGAAAAAACCACCAACTTCCTTTAGGGAGTCATTTCCCCTGGATGAAAAGGTCTCCCTCCTTCAGCTATTCAGGTATCCAGAGAGCAGGATAAAGAGGAAGGCTTGGTTCCAAGAACAGGGATTAGCGCACAGTTGGGAATGCAGTGACTACATTCAATGACTTTCCAGGAGACACCTCAAGCCTTGCAAAGGGGGAACAGGAATGTGTCTCCATGCCAGACATGTTGCATTTTTCCAGGATGAGTATGCAGTGTCAAGAGAAAGAGATGTTCTGTAGGGTGGAGGAAAGGAAGTGACTGATTTTCACCTCCCCCCAACCTTAAGCTATCATCCCTAAAAATCATGTTAGCACTAGTTTGGATACAAAAAGCCCACTCTGAGAATAATGGTGCGGACAAAGGCCTTGGTACACTGAAATTTTAGACTTGATTTTTTTTCCAGGAGATTTTTAACTAGCAATAACTAATATGTTAAAAGTGAAAAGTTTTATCAGTCATTAAGAGGCACACCAGCTAGCTGTGTGACTAAGCAGTATTTCACAAACTCTAAGCAAACTCAACTCAATTTCCAGTCACTTTAAGTCATTCGAGGGTCAACTCCCAGAATTTGGCTCTCTGAGGCAAGTACAACATTGCTGTCTGGTTTATGATTACAGTAAATTTGATAGCAGCTATTAATTTGATACCTTGTGTACACAAGGTTGTAGTGACTATAAGCTTTTGTTATTGGTCTATGTCTGTGTTTATAGAGTAATTTGCTTCCAAGAGCACAAAACACGCAGCTGGATACATGTGGCAAGCTTCTTCCTTCTTAATCGCTCTTCCCAGAGTTAAAGAAAACTGTCTGGACATTCCTGTGATAGCATCCCGAGATGAGGCTCTTGAGCGCTTGAGTTATTTTTTCAAAGACGACATATGAATACCATTTTTCTTAGGCTATCTGGGTCTGTAGCAGCTATACCGGCAGATGACTTCATGCTTTTCCTTAAGTCTTCAGTTATTGGCCTTGGAAGTGTCTGCTCACTTATTTCATCCCAGGGGGGAGTCAGCCTTCCAACATATATGTTTTTCCATTAAACCTTGACGGTTAGCAGTGGAGTGAGATCACTGCCTATTCTGTTCACACAAACAGAGGGACAATGGAGAGTGAGCTAACTATTAATCAGGGGATTGTGAAAGCTGGAAAAACTACTCCCCAGATCATCTAAAACAACGACCTCATTTTGTGGATGGAAAAATCATAATTCAGAAATGATGATGGAAAAAAGAGGAGTCTCCCGTGGGCTCTCCCGAGAGCCACCTAAGAAAGTCAACTGATCTTAACTGGAAAGGTGGTTCTGAGTTTAGACAAGCACCAGCCCTTCTGCGGAAAGGAGGCTATCTTGCAAGCTATGCAGCTATCTGCATAAACAGCAGGTCTGTATCTGATACCAGGGAGGGGTACATGCTTCTTACTCTGGTCGTGATGCATGTGCTTTCCACCTCATCTGATTCTATAGGTCGAGTACAGAGAGAAAAAAATATCTAAGGGTGTAACCTCTGAGAATCAACAGGGATTCTACATCTATTCACAGTATAAGTCCATCCCGTGCCAAACATCACCATCATTGGCTCCAAGTCCCCAGCAGGGATGATGCAGCAGCTGCATTCTGCTCTGGAGGTCTAACAGGGATGATGCTTTGGCCCCATTTCCATGGAATCCTTTCTCATGATGGTTGGATTCATCCTACCTTGTTCCTTATATTTTCTAAGAGGCCACTCCTGTTTCCTGCCTCAACCAACTAGTGTAAGGCAAGTTAGGAACTACTCTCATTAGTTAGGGACATAGTAAGACATACAATAGTGAAGTCCTCTCTTTAAATCATCATCATCATCATCATCATCATCATCATCATCATCATCATTATTTGGTTTCTCGAGAAAGGCTTTCTCTGTGTAACAGCGCTGGTTCTCCTGGAATTCACTTTGTCCAGGCTAGCCTCAGACTCATAAAGGTCCCCCTGCCTTTGCCTCCCGAGTGCTAGGATTAAGGATGTGCACCACCACCACCACCGGGCAAATTAATTTTTATAAACATACAAAATAATAGATTTCTCTTTTAGTTTTTGAAAAACTTTACTTACATATATGTGATATTTACTTCAGTGATTTGGTAATTATTCCTGTGAATATACTAATACTAAACCAAGAAAAATACACATTAATAACAGGGAGCCATAGCAGTAAGTAACTAGAAGCCTGCTTTTCTGATGATTAACGTGGATCATTTTTCAAAATAAAATGTATATTTTTCACCTATAACTAGCTTAGTAACTATGATTCTTAACATGTGAGGTCCTATTTTGTGTGATGTACATGTCTTTCAGAGGTTTTCAGTACTTGAGACAGACAACCATAGGCATCTTTGTATTCATCTCTGATAATTCTTAACAAGTTGGCTCTTCCCTAGTTGGAGAAGGAAGAAAACCCCAGAATTTGAGACCATCGTTATTTTAGAAGTGTGCTTATGTGTCCCCCTTCACCGTTATGTTATGTAAACTAGAATCTAGAAAATGAAGGAGTTTAATAGTTACTTTTTTTTTCGTTGCTGGGATAAAAAGCAGTTTTCAGGAGAGGGTTTATTTTCACCTATGGTTCAAGGGGAAGCAGCTCATCATGGAGGCAGAAGCATGTGGGTCAGAGTGGGAGATTAGCTGCTCATGTTGCATTTGCAGCCAGGAAGCAGAGAGAGAGAGAGGAGTCCGGGGTGTGGGGGTTGTGGGGGAGGTGAAAAAGGGAAGGGGAAGAGGGGGTGGGACCACCTTGAACAACTTTAAGCTCAACCTTCAGTGACCCACTTCTTCCAACAAGACTCCATCTCCTGAAGGTTTTATAATCTTCCCAAACAGCACCACCAGTACTTGGGGACCAAATGTTTAAACACAGCAAATGTTCAAAACGTGAGCCCATGGGGGTCATTTAGTAAGGAGTATGGAGGTGCTAAATAACTTCCTGAATTTCAGGGGTGGTGGTTAAGGATCAAATCCAGGGTCTCCTCACCCCAGGTATCACCATCATTTGTTTGTTTACTTATCTTTATCTTTTTATAGTTTTTTTTTTAGAGTATAAATTCACTGTACATGGTGCTGGGTTAAATGACATTTTACATAGGTATATATGTGCTGATGTTTAAGCATCTCTGTGATATATATAGTTGGAGTCCTGTGGGTAAATGTCTAAGAGTGGCATAACTAGGTCACATGGGAGATTTATTTTTAGTTTTCTGAGGACCCTCCATACTGATGTCCATAGTAGCTGGACTAGTTTACACTCGCACCAGCAATACATAAGGCTTCCCTTTTGTCTACACCCTCACCAGCATTTGTTGTTAACTGTTGTCTTAGTGACTGCCCTTGTGACTGGAGTAAGACGGAATCCCAACAGAGTTTTGATTTGTGTTTCTCTGTACTGAGGCAGAACATTTTTTTCAGTCTTTTAAGAACGGGCTGACTATTCGTTTTACTGGTCTTCTTACCGATTGGATTGTTTGATTTCTGGTTGTTTAGATTTTTAAAAATTATTTGTGTATTCTAGGTGTTAATCCTTGGTCGGAGGCATGACGAAGATTTTTATCCCATTCTGTATGCTGTCGCTTTGCTCGATTAGCTGTTGTCTTGTCTCTGCAGAAGCTTCTCAGTTCCATGAGGTTCTATTTGTCAACTGTTGGCCTCATTTTCAGAGTGACTAGAGTTTTATTCAGAAAGTCTTTACCTGTGCCTGTATTTTGAAGCATTTTCTTCCACCGTCTCTGGTCTTACATTAAGGTCTTTGATCCAATAACAGACTTACTTATGACATTTTCATATATGTGTATCTTTGCTCATATTTGGCAAGCACCAATTTCCCTTGCCCTTTTCCTCTCTGGTCCCTTTACTCCCCTCAAATAGTCTTCCTATGCCTGTGTGTGTGTGTGTGTGTGTGTGTGTGTGTGTGTGTGTGTGTGTGTGTGTAAATATACGTATATATTGAAATCTAGGTCCCATCTCTGAGAGAAAATATGCAATACCTTGATAGATGTCCTCGTGTCAGAATCAACAATCCCCAAGGTAATTCAAGAGCTTAGAGGGGCTTGCCTCACTGTTACAGGGGGGGGGGGGCTTTAAACCCATTCATGCTTTTTATTTTTATGTTGGAGGCTGGGCATTGACAAAGAAGGGCTTGACATAGAAGCATGTGCTTGCCATCGAGTTACATCTGCAGCCCCAGGATATTCTTTTTGAAAACCTGCATATTTAAAGTGACACACTCATCTTCAGCCATCTTTTATGAGACTGACAGTTATCTCTTTTGCTAATGAGGGACCTTATGTCATGCTTCATGTGGAAAGACATCCATCATGTTATATTAGAAATTCCCTGTAAATTTTCATTTTTAAATCCCACAGAATACCTGGTTGTTCTTTCATTCACTCAAAAATGATCGGAGAAGCTGGAATTATGTACTGGATGTCAGACAAGGGATTGGGGCGACAAAGATGAGA